TCATTATGATTTCTCAGTAAGATTAAATACAGTACAGATCTGTTTAGAAAGTCAAAGCTACAGCCTCGCACATCCTCAGGTGACTTTTTAAAATCAGCTAATCACCTACATGGGTGTGATTTGATCAAATTGTTTTTGGTAGCACTTCAATGTCAGCAGATTTTGAAACTCTGCCAGATTCTCATTAGTGCATAAAAGTGTGTGACATCACTTTCATCTACCTGAGCCTTCCACACTTCAAACTAGTGAGAGGAGCAAAGGGAAATCACACAAAAGCACAAGTCTTTAATGTTGTTGGAGCCACATTAATAATATTCTAAGAGACAGAGAGAGAGAGAGAGTTTGTGTCTGGTTTGTGAGATATCGATATAAAATGTGACAAAATGCTTATTTGTGCAGTTTGGTCATTTTTCTTTATTTCAATTAATGAATGAAAGGGTTATTTGTGGTTGCTTGGCAGACAGCTCCAGCTTTACATTTTACCCTTTGATTCATTTAATGTCATTGTGTTTTATCCTGGAACAGTCAACAACTAAATAAATTAATATCCATTTTATGCTTTATGGAGAGTGAGTCTGCTACTCCCCACCTGACCGCAGGTGGGCAAAGGAAAATGTTGTGGATAGAGTCCATTCAGACGTGGACTAACCAAAGGTAGCATTGACAGAAGATTGTGTGTGCTCATATAGCACTTGATATATCACAGCCCAGGGCTTCAAAGTGAAATATACTGATAATTTTGAATTAGCTGGGAAATCTATGGTGTCCCACAGAGGTCAGATGCACTCCACCTTAAGAAATCACCAGCAAATAGAAAATATATGCTACCAAAGCTCAAAAACAAACAAACCAAATCTCAGAAAAACACAAGTGAAGTGTTATTGTGGAGACCATAAAGTGACGGAAGTCCCCAGCTAGCAATAAATGGTAAATAACAAGCATGTATCTACAGTATTATATGAATCATACAGTTAAAACACACATTACCTAAATCTTTTCCTTCATTGTGTTAGATGTGTGCTTCTGCAACATATTTCTAATCGGTGGTATTTTCTTAAGTTGCATTCTTGAAACTCCTGATCTGGCTTTTAGTTATCATTTGGAAAGTGTTGCCATCACAGGAGTATGCCTTACTGTAAAGTCACATGTTGTACCATGACAGTTACTCGCCTTCCACTGTCATCCATTCTCACTCACTGTTACAGATGTAAATAAAGAAAAAAGGTTGATATTTCTATTAAATTTATATACAAAAGATTGTTAAAATTAAATACTTTCATTGGCAATGTTGTGTTGAGTAGTCCTAAGCCATCAGCATTCAATGTTGTTAATTTATGCACATACTCTTAGTTGTAGCTAGAAAAACATGCAAAAGTGTATAGCATCAGTTACACCAGCTTGTATGTCCAGAGATTTCAAATCAAATAACTTGTCTGCAGCTCTCATTTTTAAGTCCCATCACTTTTTACATGTAACAGGCTTAAAACATTTTAACACCGAAGAAGAGCATCTGCAAAACTGGAATATTACATTTTAAACATTGTGTTATTAGCATGCATGGTTACTATTTAATTGAATTCAATACAGTTTTATCTATATAGTACTAAATTGCAACAACAGTTGCCTCAAGGCGCTTTGTATTGTAAGATAAAGACCCTGCAATGACACAGGGAATATCCCAACAATTAGACGGCCCCATGTGAGCAAGCACTTTGGAGACAGTGGGAAGGAAAAACTCACTTTTAAGAGGAAGAGACAGCTGGCAGAACCAGGCTCAGGGAGGGGCAGCCATGTGCCGTAACCAGTAATGGGAGAAAGAACAAAGACAGAGAGCAAAGATTAATGAGAACTAATGACTGTAGAGCAGAGGGGTGGTGAGTTAAGAACACAGTCTAGGCCTATTGCAGCCTGTAATATATAGTGTATATGTGCACCATATATTACATAAATTAACTCTATGTTTAGCATTTGTAACAAACCAAATTTTTTGCCAGGTTAGGAGGATTATTAATTTTGCATAGGCCACTGCCTGTTTTATACAATTCAGTTAAAGTACCTTAAAATCAATTGCTACCCTGCAGACAGGGTGACATCAAAAAAGAGAAAAGGAGACACAATAAATAAGTGAGACCTGAGAGTTGTAGCAGCGCAAAGCAGCTTCAGTCAAGCAGCCCGCTCAGATCGATGCCAGCTCTCAAACAACAGCGGCCTGTCAGTCCTCTTTCCACATGGTGGCCTTTTGCTAACCTCCAACTTGAAATAGCCTGCTCCCATCATTCCCCAGTGTAGCAGAGCAGATGAAGTCCCAGTTGACCAGTCTGTCTGCACACTGAAGCATGGTGATAACTTCCGACAGGTTGGGTGGCTTCGCTTCCGTCTTACTTCGCACTGCCCTTTGCCCCCAACATCCCTGCTGCTCCTGTAATGATGGAGACCTGCAGCCCTCACTACGAGGCTCAGAAAATCAGAGTATGGGAAGCATGGCTAAAAACATAGTGTTCTTACTACAAGACCAAAATCTGATGTGATGAGTGTCTGTGTGTGTAGAAGCAATGACGGTTGGGCGGGGGAACATTTCATTTTCACTTGGGGTTAGCGTTAGATCTTTGTTGGCAGATTCTGAAGGTGAGCGACACCAGGTGGAGCTTCAAAGGCAGGTTGTTTGTTCTCTGATCACTTCTTAACAATAAAAAAAACAAACACCCCCACTCCAAGGTTACAACATTTTTCTTGGTCTGACTAACTTTGCCTTTGTGATCTGTAAACAAATCACATCACTCTGAGTCAGAAGGCATGTTTTATTCATCAAACCACTGAACCTGTTGGTTGTGGTAGTTTTGAGAGCTGCAGACTTGACAGTTAAGATTCTGAGCTCAGACTGAAGTTCCAAAACAAAGACTCAAAAGTTGACTTAAATCAGTTTAATTATTAGGCCATTAGAGTTCTCTGCTTTAGATGCTTCGAGACTTTTAGCTGGAAAACCAGTTACCTTTTTCTCTATAAACAAATTCTTAAGACACATAAAATTTGTGCAAATACTTATTGCGTTAAAATATTTTTTGTACTCACCTTTTCTTAATGCAGCCACTGACAGTTACATTACATTTGACATGTCTTGAATATTTAAACAGATTGTTGACCGAGGTTAACAGTAGCCACAGACTTCTGTCTTGCCCTGCCAGTGAAAACACACGTCTAGACACTGGTTGGCGAACCCTTGGGAACCTACTGCTTGGCAAGTGGTTGCTGGCTGTAACTGGGTAAAATAAGTTGCAAAGACAATGTTGCACTAAATACCTCTGATTGACTTAGTCACTACAAAATTGCTGCTGTCACCCATAGTTTGCATGGAAGGTGTCAGCTTGTCTGCAAAGACTTGCTAACCACAGAGACCAAACCCTGGGTGTTAGATAAGGTGCTTATGCATAGATAAAAGCAGTGTAAGTTATGTTTGTGTGATTGGGTGAAAGAGATTTGTTGTACAAATCACTTGGAGTCTTAAATTAAAGAGAAAGACACTATATTGCATGCATGGATCATTTGTGTGCTATCATACCCAGAATGCCTGTCAGTTCTTTGGAAAATCTCATAGTATCTGGTTAGTAGTAACAGTGACTTACTAAACTTTTTCATCCATCCTTCCAGCCACTCACCCATTTAAACTATTTCAGGGTCTGTCAGGGGGCGGAGTCTGTGACCCAGCATTTTCAGTTATTTTGTATTTTTTGATTACTTATGAGATAATGTTACGTTCTGGGGTTATTCATGGTTTTTCATGTTTCCGTTCAGATTTTCTCTGACTCAAGTCTTGTTTTTTGTTTTTTTTTCATGCTCCTGCTCAGATTCATGTTCATGTTCCCATGTCATAGTTTTCATAGTTAGCCTTAGCTGTTCCCAGTTTAGTTTCTGGTTCAGTTTTGCCCCAGCAACTGAATGTGTTGCTGGGGACTCCTGCTAGAGACGGGACTATGATGAGGACAGTTCACTGCAGAGAAAGTGCAGTGTCCTTTGGCAGGTGCATGTATGTCTGTACACGGACTTTATCAGTGAGATAATATCATGAGACGCAGTCACAGAACTTTACAGCTGCATAAAAAGTCAGAATAAAGAACAAAATCAAAGGTGAGTTTGGTCCAGTGGGTTTAAAAATAGGGGTCAGTGGTAAAAAAGCTAAAGAGCTTGTTTCCCCTTTCCCTCTCATACAGTCTTCTTAAATGTTGTGTTTGTATGCTTATCTGATTTAAAGTCACATATATCACATTTTCCATGATTAGCATGCACTGAGAACTCGTTGAAGCCGCTCCTGGTGTGATTTCATTGCAAGATCGTCTTTTTTTGTCCTGTTGATTCATGAGGACAGATTAAAGGCAAAATCCTTTTTTCAAAATTATCCTGCAACTTTAATTCCTGTTATGTATTGCAAAGCAGTCTGCAACAGTGACTTTTGCTGTAATTTAGAGCTGTGGTTGAGCTATTATGGTAAAGCAGTCCTCCTCTAAATGACTACTTTCTGTAGCTTTCTCTGTCATATTTACAATTACTGAAAAGATGATAGTGTGGGTATGTTTTTGATGATTAGCTTTTGTCTGCCTGTCAGAGCTTTCGCTCATTTGTAAACCTCATATTATGTTGAATGAGTGAAGGTTGGTGAGACTGCAGTGGCAAAGTGAATTTTGTCTTAATATAGTTTTTTAAAAGTTTTTTTTATAAATATGTAAGGTCATCACATTGCACTTAGGTTGTAAATGCCAAAGCTTGTTGGTCTCACAGTCAGAAGGCAATAAAACAAACTCACTATATATTATTATGCATTATTTTTTCTTTCCTTAAGCAGCCTGAAAAGTTTCAGGGTTTGGGAAGTCGTGGGTGCTTCTGGGTGTGTTTTTGTTTTCCAGGTGGAGAAGTGGGCAGGTCAGTGTTCTCTGGGCTGAGTTGATCTTCCTCACCTGGCATGAATCCTCTCATTATGGCTGTGATTTAAGTACCTGCTGTTTCAATTGGTCTAAGTCAGTTCATACGGTGGTAGCTAGGCTCACTCAGATATGTATTTATCTTTGTGTGTTACTGCCACCAACCCATCACACGGTTTGTCTGCTAGTGTCCTGCCTGAAGCCCACAGCCTGTTCTCTGAAGTATAAGTCAGTGTTCCCACAATCTCAACCTTTAATTGATACTCCTCGAGGATTCTTGGAACCACCTGTCACTCACCTCCATGCCCACTCTCCACAGGAGCCCAGCTGAACCCTGGACCCCCACCTGCTCACCTGAAATCTCAAGTAAGGCCTCAGCTTGCAAATCTTCACTGTTGCTGCAACTCACAAGCTCATCCACTTTCACCTAGATCTCTCTCTCTCTGCAGATAATACCTGTGCTGATCAGTAGAGGCTAGGATCCACTCAGTATCTCACAACCCTACACCTGCATTTTCTTTAAACATTAAATCCATAAATATGCTCTATTGCAGTCCTATTCTATTACAACAAAGTCTGGGTGGTATAGAAGCAAAATGCAAAGAAAAGACAGATGGCTCAGTCATTTTAACAGCCCTGTGAGAGAATCAGGAGTTCGGGTGATATAGGCTGGATGAAAGCACGACCAAAACTCATCGGTAAAAAAAGACGAGAACTGATAAAATTAATGAAAGACTACAGACAGCAGGTGTTCTCAGAACATAACCGTGCCGTCTTATGACAGCATAAAAGTAAACATGAGTTTTCGTCATGATTTTCCAGCTGCATTGAGGTTTGTTGACGTAAATGCCAAGTGACAAAAACTGTGGTGAACAGCAATTGAGTTTGATGTTGTAGACACTCCACCCCACTGTGAGACATCCTTTATCGAAATGTCTTATAAATATCTCAGCAAGCTGCACGCTTGGCTGCTTGGTACAATTGTCATAATCATTTGTGTTTTACAACAGCAAGCTGTTGAATATTAAGAGCATGTACAATTGTTTAAACCAAATGTATTATTGATTCCTCTAAACTTTTCCTCTCTGCAGTTTTTAACCTTTCTCCTTATTTTTTTTTTTATTTTCTCTCTTCCGCTCTTCGTTCATCCGGTCGCATTTGTTTCGACTCCTGTAATTCCTCTCAGCTTTCAAAATGGTTTTTTTTTAGTAGATCCTTTTAAAGAGGATGATTAAAAGTTCTAGCTGAAATGATCCTCTGTTGCTACCACTAGACTGATCTTTGCATCATAGGGTGGAGGACTTAGGGGAAAGTCATGAATCTCTCCTGGGAGATAATGACATGTGCAGTCATGTACAAAATGCTATGCTGATTTAATATTTATAATAATAATAATGGATGTCATAATGCTTTCTCCAGTCTCATCGACCTGTCAAAAAAAATATACAGCACGTCTACTATCCTGTTAGGAGGACCCGCTCTACCTGCCAAGTATATAAATGTGTTGGACATGCTTTCATTTTGCATCTGGTACTGCTCTTTTCTTGTCTCTTTCCTTATTGTCCAGCCTACGATGACTCCCTGAGCCTTTTTTTTTCCTTTTACTGTTAAAAAGGATTTCTTTCTCCCCACCGTCACCAAGTGACTCACAGGTCATTGTCTGATCTTTGATGTTGTTTGTATAACATTACCAGGTCTTCACTTTTCAATATAAAGTTGCTTGACGTGATCTTCCAGGTGTGGGTCTGCCTTCTGTTTTTCTTTCTCTCCTGTCTGCTAAGGTTGTGTGTTTGTGAGCCTATACCAGGGGTGGGCAATTCCAGGCCTCAAGTGCTGGTGTCCTGCAGGTTTTAGATCTCACCCTGGGTCAACACACCTGAATCAAATGATTAGTTCGTTACCAGGCCTCTGGAGAACTGCAGGAGCTAATTTAGCCATTTAAATCAGCTGTGTTGGTTCAAGGACACATCTAAAACCTGCAGGACACTGGCCCTCGAGGCCTGGAATTGCCCACCCCTGACCTAGAGGGTATAGGCCAGGGGTGGGCAACTCCAGGCCTCGAGGGCCAGTGTCCTGCAGGTTTTAGATCTCACCCTGGGTCAACACACCTGAATCAAATGATTAGCTCATTGCAGTCCTCTGGAGAACTTCAAGACATGTTGAGGAGGTAATTTAGCCATATAAATCAGCTGTGTTGCATCAACGACACATCTAAAACCTGCAGGACACCGGCCCTTGAGGCATGGAGTTCCCCCACCCCTGCTCTAGGTCCAGGGAAAATGGCAGTATATGATTATTCCATTCAATTCAGTTTTATTTATTTAGCGCCAAATCACAACAACAGTTGCTTCAAGTCAATTACAGCTCTATCTGCTGTTTACCAAATATCAACTGCAGCTTCTATGGATCCCCCCCTTCCTTTCTTGTTCTAAATTCATCCTCAGAGTCACTCTTGTTGTCCTAGGTAGCAGTTACTGAACCAGCAAGAACACCATTCATGAATTCACCTGGATGAAGATTTTTCCAGGCAGTCTGTGCCTTCAGAGTTTTGAACTGAAGTGCTGCACATGACAGGTGTATTTGTGGTAATAGAGGGCTTGCAGCAGAAATCAAAAGTGACAAAAAGTGCCATTTTGACATGCTTCTGGGGCAGATATGAACAAGGGTCACTCGGGGGAGAGCAAACATGTCATTTCCATTTGAGAATCTCCTAAGAAAAAGCCAATTCAGAAGGATGAGGAGAAATAAGTCTCGTTGAAGAATACAAATAAAACATTCATATTTTTCTGATAAGTGATACAGGTTAAAATAAGGTCACTGTTTTCCTTAAGCCGTCTTTAAAAGGCAAGGCAGGCAAGAAAAAGGAAAATTACAGGTTTTGCAAGGACAAATCTTCCAGAAAAATGAAAGGAATGGTTATTTAGCACGGAGCGTTTTAGAGGAGAAAGGCTTTATGCTGACTTTTGTGCTGAGAAATGCTGTAAGCAGCACGAGCCCTTCATCTCTGTTTTCTGTGTTAAAAACATTCCAGCATATACGTGAAATGAAAAAGCTTCAAGGGAAATACGAAAAGCACGCAGCACCTTTTAGTCTTTCTACTGTGCATGTAAGTTTCTATTTGAGAAACAAAAGATGGTTTAAAGCAGAGGTGCCAAAATTATTTTAGCGTGTGGGCCACATACAGCCTAATTTAATCACACCATTTACACCAGAGCAGTGAAAACACTGCAAAATAACACAAAACGAACACAACTCAACCACCACCTTGGTTTAGACAGATTAAAAATGTGAGTAATATTTAGAATTATAAAAGCCCGGGAATCGAATCATGAGTCATGCAATCAGTGAGATTTAAAAACTCAAACTTCAGTGTAATTTTTCCGAAATTGTCACTCTTCAACATCCAATAAGGGGGCCAGATCTGACCCCAGGCCGGCTCTAATCCCACTGGCTTTACGGCGACACACTGAAATACACTGGCTACAGTAACAGCAGCAATCGAGACATATGTTTGGAGTATACTCTATTGCTCGTCTACATGCTGCTGCCAGAGGAGGTTTTGTCTGTTTTGGTGTTACTTGTTGTCTAAATCATTCTAATGATTACGGTGGATTTAGCTGGAAGGTGTCACAGCGGGTCTGCAGAGGTGTGTTTGTAGGGTTTTCTGACTGTCTATATAAACTGTCTATTTACTGCGTACTAAATAAAACCGTGAGCATAGGATTAGTTCACGTGGGCCACAAAGACAAGCTCAGACAGTCTTAATGCCAGCGACAGCAGCCCACATCAGCTGAGGGCTCGGCTCATACTATTGCATCTTATTGCTAACTTTCACAGAAGGGATTCTATTTAACTTTTATATACTGTTTCATGCTTTCAGTTATTTGGAGCAGATAGAGGTCAAGGGTCCAAGACTTCCCTGATAATTAGCCTGAAGAATTAAGAAATGGATGATTAATGCATAACTAATGTTTCAGAGAGCAGAGTCTGTTTTTAGGAACACGTGTTTTTGGAGAAAAACTGTCACACGCTGTCATGTCCTGTTTTACTTTAGTCATGAAAACACAAATACAACATTGTATGTAAATATATAATCATTAACAGAAAATGTGATTCACAATATTAGTTTAACATTAATAACAGAACTGTAATGGAGTTGATCGTAACAGTAATTATTAGAAAAATAGGATTTCCATTTATTTAACCCAAAATTATATTTACAAAAGTGATAAATATTGAGCTCATAAAAGAAGTCAAAGAAACAAAACTAAAGTCATGCAAAGACTACAAAGTTAAGACACCAAATGACTGCCCAAACAAGCATAACTGACCTAAAAGTGAAATGACACAGGGGTGTATATAATGGCTGATCAGCCCACTATGACACACGAGGGGTAACTACACAACACAATCATAAACCACACAAATGATGCAGTACAGTCTAGTTTGTTAATAAAATAAAGATCAAAGAAGAAAATCTAAACTACTAAACTCAATATTTAAGTACAAATACTTTTTTTTTTTTTTTTTTTTTTTTAATTAAAGAAAACACACATTCTCCCCTTCAGCAGGACGTGGTGGTGCAGTCCAATTATCCATCCTTGTATTTAACAGCTTCAAACCCTGGCCACCACCTTTTGTCTGGCAACTCCCGGGAATCATGGCAGGTAAGAAGTAAAGGAAACAAAGGTTAGTCAAAAATCAAAGTAATGAACTGGTATGAATACATAAGTAAACTAAATGTGCGCGCTTAGAAATAGAACAAATGTATCCAAACCAAGTAATAAACTTCTTGGAAACTAAAGTGTTATTATGTCCAAATGAAAAAATGAGAATAAACAAGTGTTACCGACTTTAGAGTGTGGCCATGGGTTTGGCCATCACATGACTTATGAGTGCCTTGACAAATACATGTTCTCATGATGGTTTCAAGGTGTTGCTTGAACACAGTCACCACATATTCACTTAAAATGTTGACGCTTGAGATATAGTTTCAGTTCCAAGATTCCCCAAAGCAATATATATATTATGTTTTTTATTTTAAAAAAAAATGTAGGAGTTTCATACTCTTGTCTTTTGTCACTTTAGGAAAGATCATCAAATTACAGGCAAAAAAAACGACATTTATACATTTAAACTGCCAAATGTTAACGCAGGTCGAGTTTAGCCTGAAAAGTATGTGAGGGTTAAGCTGCTGTTGCATGCCATGCTGTACCTCTGCAAGCCACTCTGCAACCCACCACCCCTGCAGCTCCTGCTTTTCATGTGCGGTCTGACATGAGTTGTTGTCAAGCTGCTGTGATTGTTAGACTTCTTTGTGCTGCGTTGAGCTCTTTCCTCCCCTGCCTTCAGCTTTCCTTGTATGCACATGAAAACACACCAAGGTGAGCTTATGCTTTTCAAGCTGTGCAGATGAAAATAGTGTTTTTTGTTCAAAAGGAGACGATCTGAGTGAAGTGTGTTTCGCAAGGTTCCACATATGAGAAAGCGTTACCATTATTATTTTTTTCTTTAATATTTTGCCTTTTTCGTTTTTTATTTTTTGTTTTTTTCCTCTTCTTTTTAGGAATATATTTATTCTCTTTGAATAACATAGTTAGAAGACACACAACTTTAACATCTCTACATAGAGAGAAAATAATGTGGAAAGCAGAAAGGCAAAGAAAATTTAAAAACATATCACTTCTTAGTCGAATCCAATATGTGCTTTATATCCAGCGAAGAGCAAAAAGCATTTTGATGAAGACTGTATATAACCCTGGATTACAAACTCCTGTTTTTATCAAAGTATCACATTTTTTCGGTTTTGTTTTTTAAATTTATTTATTTTTTTGTCTTTGTCTGGAGCAGCAATGTCATCGTGGGCCACATACAATATGTTTATCTTAAGTGTGCTTGAACAGTGAAATTCCCCTTTCCGTCAATATAAAGAAGTTTGTACCCTATTCCTGAGATATGTTGGCATTAGAAAAAGAAGTCCCATTTCCAAACTTTGTGCCCTCCTTCTCTTGTTCCAAAGCTGTGCAGTGGGCCAGATTGGAGGCTTTGCTTGGCCAATTTTGGTCCCCGGGTCTTAGGTTTGACACCCTTGGTCTGGAGTGTTTTCACCGCGGCAGTCTTTTCACAATAAAAGAGATAACTGTGCCTTTTATATTACATTATTCTTTAAAATAACACATTTGATTATTAATTTAATAAAGTATTTAATTGGCTTTCTCTTTTCTCTGGGTTTCTGTGACCTGTGAACATCTGTTCACAGTAAACTTTAACGCACAAACGGTGTCCTCTGGGATTAGCATAATACGGCTGGGACTTCAGTGGCGAGTGTATCAGCGCACAGAGGAAATCTACAGTATATTGCCAATGCTATTTTTAACCGCCATATTATCTTTACTCACTGTTTCCTCAGCTCTAGCGAGGCCTTGGCGAGTTTGTGCTGCACTCGAGTCGAAGGTCAGAAGCTTTGCTGTTGGTGGCAGCTTGTAACAGTCGCCTGCTCTCAATCCTCAGATGGTAAGGTGGTTAGAAAAGCCCTCCAGCTGCTCCCACAGGGGTGGGACAAAGTGTCAGCTCACCACACAGAGGAGGAAGGAGAGAGAGAGAGGAGGGCTTTAAATCTCTCCTTTTCTCTTTTTCACTCTCTCCACATTTCCCATGGCTTCCATGTCGCTGTTACTCTCCCTTCCTGGATTATTTCTGTATAATTTGTTTGCAGCATATATTTTGGAT